AATCGCCAGAGGAGGCCACCGAGGGGCCAGCCACCCAGGGGCCTCGGCAGAACGAGCTGGAGGGGTAAGATCGACCCCGGGGCCTCCCCACCAGGTCGGCGAGGAGCCGGGGCTCCTGTTGTAGAGTAGGCGGGGGGCTGAGCATGACCTTGAGGCTTCCTCCACGGGGAGGCTTGGCCAGGAAACAGCACCCCCAGGATGCTCTCAAGCACACGGTTGTGCTGATGACCAGACTGGGCCCAGCCGCATCCACTCACTGGAGCCCGCCGTGCTGCAGCCAAACACACGTGATCACCTGCTGAGAGCTCCGTACAGACCGCACACGGGGCAGAGCACACACACGCAACACCTGCACACACACGTGTACTCAGCACCTACCTACCTGTACGTACACACGTGTGCATATACCGTATATACGTACACACACACACAACCACACATGCACGCACACACCTACACACACACTTACAAACGCACAGGCACGCATATACAACACACAGGCACACGTGCAACCCTACATGCACATACAACACATACACACGCTACACACAACACACACCTACATACACACATATACAATACATACTTATATATGTAGACACACACACAACCCTCCATACACACATATACAACACACATGCACACATCTACACACATATATAACACATGCACACACCTATATATACACATACATACACATACAAGACAATGACACACCTACACACACATGCACACACAGCAAGCAACTGCTCAAGGAAATGGGGCAAAATGCAGCAACAAGCAACTCTGGGTGAAAGGTATTCTCTGTTCTATTCCTCTTCTCACAGCTTTTCTGTAAATCTGACATTATTTCCAAATTAAAAGTTTGAAAACAAAGAATGTGGCTTCCTCACCAGCCCTCACCCCCATCCTAGCCCCCTGGAATATGCCTCTGTGAGCAGCTTTCCCCGACCTGGGACCAGGGTCCCCTTCCGCGGCACCCGGTACCCTCCCCATCTCCAGGTGCCTAAGCCCTGTCCCAAGGGGGTGGCAGGCCCACCAAAATAGCAAAGGGAGTGAGGCCCTCCCCGGCCCATGGAGCAGCTCCGCCCAGGGACCCGGACGTTCTGGGGGCTCATCAAGCCCACCCTCCTGACCTCTCGACCTAGACTGAGAAATGGTACTTGCTCCCCCTCCTCAGTCTCTCCCACCAAGAGAGGGGCGAGGCTGGCCACCCTGCCGACACTTCCTGCAGGCCCTGGGGACACCAAGGCCACCACTAACCCAACCCAAGCAAACCGTCCCGAGACAGAGGGACGGCTCGGGGTCTCCTCCCACCGGATGGAGGTGGCGGCAGAGCGGACACCTGGGAGGTGGGAGCGGTGCTTCCGGGGCTGGACGCCGCCTCCGGTCACGGCCACTTCTCGTCCAGAGCACTGCGCCCTGGGTCCCTGGCCTGGCTGGGCCTCTGCCGGGGAGAGCCCCTCCCCCTCAACCTACGGAAGCCCCTAATTTCCAAGCCAGTTAAGCAGGGCTGAGGTGACATGATCCTCCCCATGTCACCTCACCCTGTCACCATGTCAAGCAGGGGTCGGCCACCAACCCCTCATCTCTCTTCCCCTCCCAGACTCCAGCGGGGCAGAGGGCAGCCTGGTCACACGAGAAACCACCACCCGCACTGCCAGCCTGCAAGAGCCCAGAGCCGCCCTGCACCTGGAGGGGTATTCCTGCGCCTCCCGGCTCTGCACCCGCCGGGACCCTCGCCGGGAGCCTTGCCCTGTGTCACCACGGGGGCCAGCAGGTCGGGCACCCGTCTGGTCGCTCCCAGAGCTGCCCTCAGGAAGGCTGCCGTCAGGGGTGAAGCCGGGGCCCCCCGGGCGGGTGCTGAGGCTGCGTCCGGGTGGCACCTACCCTGGACCCGCTGCCCGGCGAGGAGGGGTCCAAGTTACTACCAGGCGCGTGGTGGTTCCCATCCCCCTTCCCCTGCACCCTCCTCTGGGGGCCTTTCCAGTACAGGAAGACGTGGTCCACCGGGTGATCGCTCAGCTCAAAAAGGTTCCCCGGGTGACTCATCCCGTCACCGGAGTAAAGACGCGGTGCAGGACAACTGCTCAAATTCCTTTTACAACACACTGGTTTCGAAAAAAGTTGAGCGTGCAAAGCTCAAAAGCGACTCCAGGATGTGGGAGAAGCCAGCGCGGGGGGCGTGCAGGGGCGGCTGGGGAGGGGGCAGGAGTGGTTTGCACACAAGGCTGAGTAGCCCACGCGAGGGACTCTGCTGGCAGCCACGGCATTCGCTGGTGGGACACGAGGACCCCGCACCCTGGCAAGAACCTGTTCGTGGACCTTGGCTCAGGCTGTTGTCGTGCCCGATGAGCCTCCCCGCCCCCCACGTTTCCTGGATGGCAAGCGACCCAAGCCACAGGCCACCAGCAGGTCAAGCCCGCCTCTGTCCGGGCCTCCCTGTCACTGGACAGTTTAACACCCAGTGCGCAAGAGCCGCCCATGGGCCAGCCCGTGAGGACGCGGTCTGCAGTCAGACCCTCCGAGGAAACCTCTGGAGCTGGAGGGATGTGTGGAGCACGCTGGGCAGACAGAAGCCACCGCAGAGCTAATACTCCCCGCGGGTGGGCTTCTGGGTGGGCTGACCGGCTGGGTTTTGGGGGAGGGCAGACAAGCAGCAGCCCTTGGTAAGCGAGATGTGACGCGAGGTCCCCGCTGACCCTTCCACACCACGACCTGCGCAGCGTTCCCTCCTCGGGAACGTTCAGGCCCAAGTGCCCCCAAAGCCAGCAGGGCGGCCGCCCTCTGATCCAGGGCTGGTGCGAGCCGGCAGCGTTGGGGGTCACCTTCAGAGCCTGTGCCATTTAAGGAACAGGTGCACAGGCCGGTTGGTAGCTGATTCTGTCACGGCCTCTGCCGCTGACTCGCAGGAAGAGGCAGGGCACCGTGTCACAGCACTGCCGTCAGTGCATCGCCCACCGACCACTTGCCGAGCCGGGAGCCACCTGCTCTTTGAGGTCACCCGACGGCCAAGCACACGTGAGAAACGGCTGGCAGACATGGGAGACACACACGGACCTCTGGAAGTGACCCTTTTAACCAGCTCTGCAAGTAAAATATTAGCCGGTGGGCTTCCCTGGTGGCGCAGTGGTTTGAGAGTCTGCCTGCCGATGCAGGGGACGCGGGTTCGTGCCCCAGTCCGGGAAGACCCCGCATGTCGCGGAGCGGCTGGGCCCGTGAGCCATGGCCGCTGAGCCTGCGCGTCCGGAGCCTGTGCTCCGCAACGGGAGAGGCCACAACAGTGAGGGGCCCGCGTACCGCAAAAAACAAACAAAAACATTAACCGGTAAAACGGGGTGAAGAATGAAGTGATCACAGACTTGCTAAATAGGTATTGTTTATTAAGGCTTGTATTGCCAAGCACACGTGAGAAACGGCTGGCAGACATGGGAGACACACACGGACCTCTGGAAGTGACCCTTTTAACCAGCTCTGCAAGTAAAATATTAGCCGGTGGGCTTCCCTGGTGGCGCAGTGGTTTGAGAGTCTGCCTGCCGATGCAGGGGACGCGGGTTCGTGCCCCAGTCCGGGAAGACCCCGCATGTCGCGGAGCGGCTGGGCCCGTGAGCCATGGCCGCTGAGCCTGCGCGTCCGGAGCCTGTGCTCCGCAACGGGAGAGGCCACAACAGTGAGGGGCCCGCGTACCGCAAAAAACAAACAAAAACATTAACCGGTAAAACGGGGTGAAGAATGAAGTGATCACAGACTTGCTAAATAGGTATTGTTTATTAAGGCTTGTATTCTCCTAGAGGAAGTTATCCGATGTCGTCTGTGACTCCGTACAGGCAATAACAGTTCAGAGAAAGTGACACGTTCTAAATACAAGTCTAGATAAAACGACTTAAACTGTAACTCGGAGGGCCTGACGAGTACAGTTTTCAGAAAGCACCTGCGCTCCGCACGGGAGGCCTCTGCCCGGCTCGTGTGCGGGGCACCAGGCAGGCGTGCACACCGCTTTCATGCTCAAACTCCCGTGGCGAGTGCTTCGGAGGCCCCTCGTTCCACAAGACACGACAGCAAATTCAGTTTCTAAAAGGTTTTCTGTTTTTTTGCTTTTTTGTACCCATTCAACAGGAAAAAAACTAGACACGCACGCTGAAATTTACAATCGGTGGCATCATCCATCACACGGTCTGGACTACCAGATCCCAGGTTTAAAGCTTAGCGTTATTGGCATAGAAACGTGAAACGGCATTAGGACTCTCCAGTGAAGAAAAGGGGGAGCGAACGGCCTGCACACAACGAGGAAGGCCTCCGCACCCGGGCCTGTGGTCACCGCCTGAGTAGAAGCAGAGCAGCCGCTGGGCGCGCACGGCTGTTCAAGACCCGTGTTCCCAGGAAACAGCAGGTTCACCAAACTGGGGAGACCGGAATTTATCCTTCTGTCCAGTAGAAATCAAACGGGCAGATCAGCATTCAGATGACAGGTAACAGACGAAATAGCAAAGCGGCTGACGAGGTGGTCATCAGCCTGTGACTTTGGCATCCTGAAGGGAAGCCCTTGAACAGAACACGCTAGATGCCAGACGACTCACGGTTTCTTACGCTCGCTATTAAAGCAAAAGGGGTGAGAGACAAGAAGTCTCATGTAAAGATATTAAATGACTGAGAATATAAGAACATAATTTTCCCCCAAAATAATAATAATAATAATAAATCTTTGGGATGGATTAGGTTTTTGTTTTTAAGGATACTTATATTTCACATTAGGTCAGTGTGATTGATAAGCTGACAAAAACATAGTCCTTTTATTAGTGAGTTCTACAATACTATAATACATAGAAAAAATACAAACAAATGCAGATCATCTGGGCAAAAATCAACTACAAAGAACGTAAAGATGCGAGCAGTCGAGCCCTGCACGAGGCCGGCCAGAGCCGACGCCAAGAGACAGCACCAAGCACACACTCTCCAGCCGCGCCAGCCCCACGTCTGATGATACAGAACCTGCTTCGTCCTCACTGCTTGTTTCGATTCTGCCGTTCCTGTAAAAAGAGAAAAGAAGCTTAACACAGTGAGCGAACGTGCCGCGCAGACAAATTCCCTCCACGTCGAGGTGCTGTGGCCAGATCTGGACCCTGCTCCCTGCAGGGGCCACTGCCCAAGACAGTTCCAAGCTTCGGAGTCCTGGCCACACGGAATGGGCGCCTGATAACCGCCTGACGTGGTGGCCACCTGGGCAGGGAAGACTCCCCCGGCCAGTTTATTTCCTCCCATCAAGAGGACCACCTTTCCCAAAGTGTGTGACAAGCCTGTGACCCGCAGCTCAGTCCCTCCCCACGGCTGCCTGTCTGCCAGAAGCCATTTAGGCCTCTACTTAGGATTCAGCTGAGACATGGAACAGTCCCCCTCCTCCTGCCCCCCTCAAGCAGGATGAAGCTGGTAATGGACACTGCTGGACAGGGGCTGGTCGATGACGCAACTCCCAAACATTCGGGATCACTACACGTGTAATGTACAAAACAAGCAAAACCCTCTCTTTTGCTAGAAACAGACCACGTGTGTCTTCAGGTTCATAAGACGCCGACTCCCCCACATCCTCCGTGCCGTCACCAGGGCAGGGCACTTGCAGTGCTTTTCAAACCGTCTCACCGTCCTGAACAGCCCCAGAGCATGTGGGTGAGCCGGGCTGGGTGGGTGGATGGCTGCAGCTCCAAGAATTAACACTGCCTCCCCACCCTGAACTCTGAACTGGAAGGATCAGGAGCTCTGTGTTCTGCATCCTCCGAGGAAGACCACAGCTACCGCCCCTCCTGGAGAGCAACGCAAGCCTCTCTTTGGAGTTCAAAGTGGCTGCGGCTGCAGTGGTGCCGACAAGGGTGGGCACCTCCCAAAGCCCCGACTCCCTTCAACCATTACAAGGACATCCACCCCTGAGACTGTGAGCAGCCTCTTCTCACAGCAAGCCCAAGAGAGGCGGCGCCCTCCTGACGGTCTCTGCCCGGTTTCCCACTGAGCCGCCGCCACGCCCGTGCAGAGCTGACCCTGGGCCGCGGCCGGTCCAGTCGCATGCGGAGCTCTTCGGCTTGACTCTGTCACTCAAAACCTGCACTATTTTAAGCGCCCTAAGGAGTGGCTGTTTCTACATTTAAAACCCAGAGGCTTGCAGGGCTGGGTCTGACCCAGCTGCCACAAGACTTGGTGCTTCCCTAAGGAGCCAGCTGGCTTTCAGATGGACGGCTGAGGTGCAGGACAGCCAGCACTCCTGCAGAAGGGCAAGTACATCTTACCTTTCAATACAACGTGTTTCTAAGCATCGTGATCATTTCAAAGCAATGGAGTCAAACTCCAGCTGATCAACAAAAGGACTTCTTGAGAGTCTCCAGGGCAGCCTTCTTGGTGACGGTGGCCTCGCCAGCAAGCTCAGGGTTTTAAGGGAGCTGCTCCCAACCTTATCTCAGTACCCATCTTTCTTAAGGACACACCCAACTCCTGCATGGAAAGCAGTCCAGCTGCCGACTCCAGAATGAGCCCTGAAGACAAGCGTCCTGGTGGAAGCTTCTGGGGCAAAGCTGAGACCCACCCCCACTGCTCTACAGCCCAGCGAGCTCAAGAGACGCCACCAGGACAGCAAGAGGCCGGGCTTCCAGAACGTGAATTAATGGAACGCTGACCCCTGTGGACAAAGGCTTTCAGCCCAGCTGGACAGCGCACCTTTCCTCGCAGGCGCTCACCTGCTTCTGGAGCATTTGCTGCCCCAGGGGAAGGGCGGAGCAGCCCGGGGAAGCCTCACAGTGAAGCCCAGCGGCAGAGGACACCGGGCGGCAGAGGACACCGGGCGGCAGAGGACACCGGGCCGAGCCCGCTGCAGTAACACCTGGAAGCCTCAGGCCCGAGGGTCTGAGGGAGGGCTGCTTCTTCCTCCACCCGCTCCTGACGTGCCACAGCTCCATCACGAGGCAAGTTCTCAGTCATCAGCACCTTCAAACACCCACAGGGCGGGGCAGAAGTTTACCCCTCAGCTCATCACAACCAGCAGAACCCAGGGCCACAGCACCTAAGACGCCACACATGCAGAGCCAGCGCCCAGTCACCAGGGACGTCAAGTCTCGTGAGCATGATCTCCATCCTGTCCCTGCAAATCCAGCAATTTGGTGTTTCATTTTATAACCAATTTCGCAGTAACTGGAAATAAGCCCCTCTCCTTTCCGCCCAAGAGTGAGAGTGGGACCGACCTGCTTTCAAAGTTTTGCAAACTGTGAGCTGTTAGTTTTGTACAACTTTAAAACCGTTACCAGCACTGTGTTCTCTGTACATCCCATTTGCAAGCCTTTCTGCCGGAAAACACTCAGGACACTGAACTTCCCAGATGGGTAACGCTTTTTTTTTTTTGTAATACAGAGAACTAAACTGGGGTTGAAAACCCACCTATTATCAACTGACGTTTCATGAAAGAAAGAACATTTTAACACCAAAAAAGCAGGGAGAATCTCAGGATGAACTCTCTTGAACAAAGTGGCTTTGCCAAGTGTGTCACAGTGTCCTTCTTTTTCCCATTTCTGGGCCATCTGACAGGTCTCTGAGCCCTGATATCCTACAGAGCAGACTCATTCCGTGGGCTGTCACAGGAGGTTGGGACCCACTCAGAGACCCACCCAAGGGTTTTCGCTGTGACTCTAGATGCACACATTTCAGTTATGAACTGCCTGCATTCCAACCTCCCCCTCTCCTGCCCTTCTACTCTCTAGACGAGCAAACTCAGGTTTCCAAAAACTGCAGGATATTGGGTTTCCGAGAGAGAAGTAAGCAGCGACCCCTAGACCAGAGCGTCCCCACTGCTGAGGGCAACGCCCAGCAAGGCCCTCGGTGGGGATATCTGCCCCAGCAGCCCCGCCTGTCCACCCCGGGGCCACAGAACAGTATTTCTAAGTGTTCCTGGCTGGACAGACTAGGCAGCACTGTTCTAGAAAACATCGTAATTCACAAAGAGAAAAGGAGCAAGTTACCCGCAGGTCCTTTACAAGAGCATGTGCACCAGTGTTTCTTAACAACTGGAAAGGGACTCCGGGTCCCGGGGTGGCGACCACTCAGACGCCCCCCCGGCCCTGCCGGCGACCCAGCGCAGCCCCGGGACCCAGACTCACCTTGCGCACCCCCTCCTCCTCCTCCTGGCGCTTCTCGTAGTGCGAGAAGTCGTCGAAGATGGAGGTGCTGTGCTTGTACGAGGCGATGATCTTCAGCACTTGCCTCGCCTTCTCCAGGGGCACCTCCTGGGTGTCACGGGAGTTGGTGACTGGCTTGTTGTCGTTGTTCTCCAGCCGGATGTGCCGCAGCTGGCTGTTGGGCACGTCCTTGACGAAGACCCACCTCACGTCGAACTTGCCCTTCCACTTGTCCTGGGACCAGACGCCGGCGCTGGTGCCGTAGTCCACGGGAGACGTCATCTCAGCCACCCCGCAGAAGTGGCCGCTGCCGTTGACGCTGAAGAGCAGGTAGACAGGCCCCTTGCTGCCGAGGGCGCGGAAGGCGCTGTCCAGGCGGCGGTTGCCGTGCTCCGTGCTGCACCAGAGGGAGTACTTGATGGAGCGATGCACGTCATCCTCCGAGTAGCTCTTGATGATGAACACGCGCCCGCTCTTCAGGTTCCAGTCAAACTCCTTGGGGTTGTAGCTGTGGGCGGCTTTCAGTTTTTCTAGGACGGGGTGGGACTCCGGGCTCGGGGCGGCGCTGGGCTGGGCGCTCCCGGGAGAGTTACTGTCGCCGCTTGTCCCCCCGCTCTGCCCGAACGCCGTGCTTCTGTTGCGAGGGGCGACCCAGCGGGTCTGGGGCGGCTGCTGGGGGCCCGGATGCTGTGGTGGGGCCGGAGGGGGAGGCTGGGTGGGAAGGGGCTGCACGGCCGGCTGGGGCTGGGGGGCCGCCTGGGGGGCCGGCTGGGGCTGGGGAGCCGGGGCCTTGGGCACGGGCGCCTTGTTGTCCCAGGTGCCGATGTCCATGTTATGCTTTATGGGCGGAGGGGGCAGCGCACCCCCGATGGCAGGCCCGCCCTTCGCCTTCATCTTCGGCTGCAGTTTGGCAGGCTTGCTGGCAATGGCCGCCCACGAGGTGGGCTTCGACACCGGCATGGTCACGTTCGTCCCGCCGCTGCCGGAAAGGATGCCCGTCATCGCCACGCTGCTGACGACTGACCCCACCGTCTTGACTGCAGAGGTGGTGACATCCCCGATCTTCAGGCCCACCATGCCCTGCTCCAGGCTATTCATTCCAGGGGCCTTGTTGAGGGTGTCGCTGTGAAAGCCCGTCTGTCCATCCACGATCGTGCCGCCCAGGGAGCTCGGCGGGTAGGTGTAGCTGTTCCCATAAGCTGAACTCTGAGCCTGCTGCCCCTGAGACCCACTCGCCCCCCAGGCTGAGAAGGCGGGGTTTTCGGGGAAAAAATTAAACCTGTGCTGATAGATGTTGTTCCCCAGGCCCCCAGGCTGCCCGAAAACAGCATCGTGCATAAAATGATGGTCTCCGTTACTGAGCTGTCCGTAGGTGGTGAGGTATGGGATTGGAGGATCCCCTCCGGTAGACCATGGCGCCTCATTGAGGGAATAGGGAAATCCGATGGATGGTGGGTAATAGCTGGACAGGTAGGGGTCGGCCATGGAGGGGTAACTGTTACTCTGCGGAAACAAGCACGTGATGAGTTAGACGTGTCCCAACACGTCAAGCGCGCCTACTTCAGGAACGGGCCTGTGCAGCACCGGCTCCCCTCCCAGCGGGCCCAGCCAGGACAGAGAGGGCGACGCCCAGACGACCCAGGGGCCACTCCAAACAAAAAGGGTCACTTGCAACTGATCTGGATTCAAGTTAGGTGACAGCAATCTTCTCAGCAACCCCTCCACTGCACCTTGAAGAGTGACCCACTTCAAGGCACTCAGCCTGAGGAACAGGTCTCTGTCCCACTGGCAATAATGCTTATGCGGGACACTGACAGCACGGGCGGCACAGCGCCAAGTGAGCAAGCTTTAAAGAGACAGCAGCCACGAGCTCAGGGCTACAGGCTTGCTGATGACTCACCTGGATGACCCCCAGGACTCCCGCCCGACCCCTATGCCTGAGCCCAAAGGGGTCTGGCCCCCTCAGTCCCCACCATTTCCTGAGGCTCTCAGAGGGGAGCTGGCTATGGCGGGGAGACCCTTACTGAGAACGTGCCTCTGTGTGATGGCCGGAACCCCTGGGAGGAGTTTAAGTAGCTGCAGGGCCTCCCCTTGGGGTGGGGGTGGGGGGTTCAGGAAAGCTGCCCAGGGCCGGGTTTAGACCTGGGGTCAGCAGTTCTGGGAAGATGTCCCCTTGGAGAGAGACTCACCCAGGGGTCCTGGTCAGAACTGGGCCCGAGAGCGGAAAGGCTGTGAAGGAAAGCAAGAGCCGGGGCAAATGTGGAGTTCTCTGGTCCGATTTCTGCATAGTTCTCCCAAGTAACCAGAAAGTTCTACAAGCAGAGCAGCGGCTGGAGCCCTCCTCCCCCACCCCGCACCTGCCGTCCAGTCAGAGGACCCGCTGCCCTGGCCGGCAGAGGGTGGCTGGTGTCCCAGGTGACTGGAGGAGGCTCTGCTTCACTGGAATGAGAACAGGGGGTAGCTCTCCGGAACCCCCAGAAGTGCCTGTGGAGGACAGGCCAGTTCCTCAGCACATCCCGGCCCAGCACGTGACGGTGCTGACCCAGGCACCCTCTGCCGGTCCCCACTGGCATCTCCTCCCACCCTGCCCCATCCTAGGATTCCTGGGGCTTCGGGAATCACGTCTCCTTCCTGCTCGCTGCTCCACTTGACGGCAGACTATTCCAGAAGCACTTTTAAAATGTAGTAATAACTATCTGCCTGTTAATACGAATCCTTGAGATTCTCAGGGGGTAGAAAAAGCCAGACAAGTGGCTGTCATCAGTGCTCTGAATGCAGGGGAGCCGCCTGAGCCGCTGCCCTTGAAAGGATCTCAGTGACTCTGGCCCCCGCATTGTGGCCCCCCCAGCCCCGCCTCCCTGCTTGCCTCCACCCACCCTGTGCCCGCAGGAGGGGCTGCTCTGAGGAGAGTCAGTCCCTGGGAGGCCAGGGTGGCAGACTTGCCCTGCGAGGTGGGGCAGCCCCAGGGGTGGAAGCCTCCAGCCTCTGACCTCGGCGCCCACCAGTGCCTCAACAGCACAATGGGGACAAGCCTTCTGAAGGGAGGCCAGCACGCTCCTCCCCCATCAGCTGGGCACCCACCTCGGCAGTGCCGGGGCCACATCAACGCGTCCTCCCCCTCCGCACAAGGAATGCACTCGGGAAAAGAGAGGACCCAAGGGCTGCGTGGCATCCAAACCACACAGCCACGAATCCAGCCGGAGCCACGGGAGCACGGCCACGGAAGCCTTAGCCCAGGGGGCCAGCGCCTCACTTCTGACCTGCACTTCAGCCTTAAGCACAACAGGACTTCATTTAGAACGTGAGACCACACGTACTATGTTAACCATGGCATGTCCCTCACGTCCACCCCAATCTCACTATTGATGGAGAAGCCCAACACCCTGGTCACACAGACCCCATCGTGCAGATGGGCAGTTCTCAGGCACCTCCAACCAGGACTGTCCAGGGAAAGA